ATATAAACTGTGGAGACAGACTGTATGGGTTCAAATCCCAGCTCAACCACATATTAGCTGTTTGACCTTGGGCATGTTACTTAACCTCTGTAGTCCTCAGTTTCCTCATCTGAAAAAAAGGGAACCATAGTAACCTACCTCATAGGATTGTACAAGAATTAAATAAAACATTTTTATATTTGTAAAGTCCTAATGTTTGCTGTTTTCACTATGATTGCTTATTGTCCTCTGGTGAAATGCTCCCAAAGAGCTTGCTGCTGTCAGGTGCTGTCAGGTAGGGTCCCAACATCCCTCCCTAGCTGAGCTGGCCTGCAGTCCTCCCAGCCCCTCACCTGGGTGGTGGTGTAGGCGTCGCCATTGCGGTAGCGGGTGACCTGGCGGGTGCGGCGGACATAGTGGTAGCTGATGGCCTTCCACCAGATGCAGGGTGTGGCCTGCTGCATGCGGCCCACACGCTCCCGCACACTGCTCACATCAACGCGGTGCTGCAGTTCATGGCGGGCTTGGCAATGCCAACATTCCACCAGGTAGACGGCATACAACATGAGCAGGAAGGCCAGGGGGATGTAGACATAGCCATTGGAGCAGGGGCTGTCGTGGTACATGAGGCTGTTGCCCTGGTAGGCGCTGCTGAAGGTGAGGCGGGTCACCGTGGTGACGTGGCACCAGGCCACGGCCCCCAGGCAGCCGTACATGAGCAGCGAGAGCAGCAGGCACTTCCAGTGGGATTCACGGCAGAGAGATTTGGTGAAAGAGGGCTGGATGGGACGCTGCTGCTTAGAAGAGCAAGGAGAGGGGCCGAGATAGTTAGGGAATGAGAGAATGGGATAAGTACAGAAATGGATGGAGGACCCAAGGCCAGCACCAGATATGGTGATGAGAGACACAGACACATGGAGAGAAAAGTTAAGACCGAGGACCAAAGAAAAACACAGATGTGAGCCATGGTGACAAGAAAGAGGAAGGGATGTCAATACAGAGAAGTGCAGAGAAAGAGACATCCCAGGAAGCAGATCATGATCAGAGCCGGATGTGACAGGAGAAGGCCAAGGTGGCAAAGTTAGATGGAGAGGATGGCACCCACAGAGACAGAGTCCAAAGACAGACACAAAGATGTCAATGAAACAGGAAAATGTGTGGATGGGAAAGACGGGGGAAGACAGACAGACAGGTGTCAGCAGAGGCAAGTCCCCAGCCCAGACCCCTTCCAGATATTCTAGGAAAGGGAGGGACCCACTGACATCACCTCCCACTTAATAGGTGGGCCCTCACTTCAAATTCTTTCAGTCCTAGGTTCCAGAGGAGCCACAGCTCTTTGACCTGTCTTCCTGCCTACCCCTCAAAATTAGCCTAATACCTCCTTTAGACAGAGGCCGCAAGAAAACTTCAGTCCTGTGTCATTCTCCACATTCTAGACTCCAGTCCCTCTGTGAGTCGCCTCCTGTACACTAATATCCTTCCTCTCTGTTCTAGAATGGGAGAAAACTCTCCAAAAGAGAATGGGTATAAGGGTGTGGGATAGGGAGGAAGATGTTTGCAACCCAGCCATTAGTCAAGAGAAAATCATTTGGAGGTACTCTCCTGGGGACTCTGTTAAAGCACTTTGATACCTTCTGTCCCACAGTCCGTCTGGTTCCCACACTAGGCTGGGTGCTCCAGAAGGCAAGGCCTGAGCCTTATTTTCTTTGCATCTAAGTGCCTCCCACAGTCCTGGCAAAAACTAGCCACTTAATAAATCTGTATTGAGTTGGATTTTTGGTGGTACTTGCCCACCCTCCTCCTTCATGTTCCCACAAACACACCACCATGCTGAGATCCTGATTTACCCACTCAATTCCCCAGGCCTGGCCTAGAGGTCTGCCAGGACAAGGAAACAGAGTGGAAGGAAAAGGTACAGTAAGAGGCAGTGGGCCCTGGGCCTTGTATAAATCCTAGGAAAGATCTGGAAGTGCAGATAGGTAGGTAGGCTAGAGAATGGCACATAGCATATAACAACAGATGCGTGTACATGTGGCTTTCAAGAAACCTTGTCCTTGCGGGGAAGGTGTACATACGTGCATCTGCATCTGGTCACCTGGGTGTGTGCTCTCCCCATGTGAGCACATCTAAAGGGGCTCTACCTGCAATCCAAGTCTGTCCCTGCATGTGTCCTTGTGTGTCAGTATGTACATGAGTGTGCATGGGACATTGGGGTGGAGGTTGTCTCCTGCTACTTTCTTTAGCCCCTTTGTCTCCAGGTTCAAAGATCTGAAGAGTGGGTTCCCCAACTCGGGGTATGCTTAGCATCCAGACTTGAAGATTCCTGGGCTTAGGGTACCCCAGTGGGAGTAGCAAAGGCACTGAGAGAAGGGTACAAACTATCCCACCCTCCAATCTTCCCACAACTCACACACACACACTCACACACACCCCTAGTCACTGCTGCACAGTTGACCTTCTTAGGGACCTAGTCAGGTAACAATATCACCTCCTCATGTCACCCTTCTGGCTTTGTTGCCCCTACAAGTTGCCCTTCCTAGCCCTCAAGGTAACACTCCCCCCCCCCCCCCCCCCGTGAGATAAGATCACCGCCACCATCCCCTCCCAAGATAAACTAGCCCCCTTCCAAGATAAAGCAGCCCCTTCCCCCACTCATCCCGGGTCCACGAGGCTCCGCCCCTAGGCTCCTCCTCTTGCCCGGGACCCCTGAGCCCCGCCCCCGGTGCGGCCCCTTCCCAGCCACCGCGGACAGCTCCGGCCGCTGGTGGGGGCGGCGGCGCGGGACTGCGGCTGTGGCAACCGGCTCGGGGTGCGGGGCGCCGGCCGCGCTGCGGCGGAACCCATCGGGGCCGCGCCGCGGGGGGTGGGGGCCAGGCTGCGACCGCGTCCGGGGAAGGGGCGCCGCCAGCTCTCACCTCCTCTCGGGCGGGGCCGTCATCCGCCACCGCTGCTGCCGTGGGCTCCTCCGGGACCCCGGGGCCGCCGCCGCCGCCGCCGCCGGCGGCGCTCTCTCCCGCGGCCGAGCCAGGGGGGGACATGGCGTAGAGGGGGCGCGTCGAGCTCAGGGCCTCCCGGGGGGCTACCGGGGGCCGGGGGCATCCTGCGCGGGCCCTGAGGAAGGGGCGGGAGGGGGCGGGGCCCACACTGCTCCCCACCCCCCGGAGGGGGGAGGGGACCGGGTGATAAGGGCACCGGAGGTTAGGGGCGAGGGATAGGGTTGGGGGGCCGGGTGGGGGTGTCACCTTGAGGCCCTCGCGGCGCCGCTCCGCCTCCCGCCCGCTCCCGCCGCCGCCTTTTGTCTGAGCCGAGCGGGAGCCAGCGCGCCCCCCCTCTTCCTCCCAGCGCAGTCGAGCCCCGCCCCCAGCCCCCCAAACTCCGCCTTCCCCAAGCCTACCTAACAACCACCCCCAAAGCGGAGAAGCAACAGGGGCTCCCCGCACCCAGCCCTGCTCACTGCACACACACACCATGTTAGGAAGATCTGTGCCAAAAATCATCTCTGTCAGTCTTCCATGGAGGGGGCGCCAGAGGTTCAACCACCATCTCTCCCTAGCCCTGGTCCTGCGAGTTCCTGGTGCAGAGGAAACTGAGTCTTGAGACCCTAGGGAAAGCTCTTCTTCTTAGTCCTTAGTCGTTGGTAAACAGTTAAGGCAGAAGTAGAATCAGTGGCCAGACCCAGTGCACAGGGATGGAAGAGGGTGAAAGGAAGGAATTGAAGCTAGATGTGAAAAAGGACTAACAGAGGGCAGAAGACATTGGAAGTGGCCTTCATGAAGAACAGCCTCAGAGAAGCAATGAAGTGTGTACAAACGCCCTCGTCTGAAGGTCAGGAAGCCCAAGTTCTAATTCTCAATCCCAGCTCTGCCATCAATGCATTGTGTAACCTTGGATAAGTACCTTGCCTTCTCTGTGCCTTAGTTTCCTCAACTGTGCAGTAAGGAAATTGATTGAACGGTCTAAGGCTCTGACCTTCTGTGGGTGCAGGAGTCCCAGAACATAGGAAAGACTGAGAAACTACTGGCAGCCTGCCCCTTCATGCCACCTGCACTGCCTTTCTCCGCACCCCCTAGGACAAGCAGAAAGGAAATGCATTCATTCATTCATTCATTCATTTCTAGATACATCCATTCAGTTGACAGATATTGGGTATCTGCTGGAGTCCTGGTGTAACGCTCTGAGATAATACACTGGACCGCAAGGTCAGTTCAAGCCACAAGGTCAGCAACTCAAATTCACCAGCCACTCCTCAGAAACCCTTTACACACTCACTATGAGTCAGAACTGACTTGACGACACTTAACAACAGCAAGGAACCCACTGTTCAGAAATGAAGCACACAAATTCCTACCCTTAAGGAGTGCAAAGTCTAGTAGGGGCGATGGCTTGGAAACCAATTGTTATGATAAAAACCAGTTGCCATGCATTGATTCCAACTCATGGCAACCCCATGTGTGTCAGAGTAGAATTGTACTCCATAGGGTTTTTAATAGCTGATTGTTCCAAAATAGGCTGCCAGGACTTTCTTCTGAGGTGCCTTTGGGTGGATTCAAACCTCCAACCTTTCCGTTAGCAGCTGAGCATATCAACTGCACCACTCAGGGACTCCATCATTATGACAGAATTCGATGCAAGTCATGCAGGATTAATTTGTGTTTGCAAAAGTCACTGTGGAATCCTACTGTGTGTCATGTGTCACAGTAAGGTCTTTGACATTTAGTAACTGTCCTCACCATTTAGTCACAAGAGCAAAAGGAGTGACTTACTCCAGGTCACCTGCTAGCACATAACAGAAGGAGGAGACCTAGACTCTAGATCTTTCCTATTCAAAGGTTCATCTAGGATTCTTTTGGTCAGGATGTTAATTTATGGTGATGCCAGTATATCTGGTCTCTGGGCATATGGTACACATAGTGATCTGTCTGAAATGGTCCTGTCACTCATTTGTGGCTGAAGAGCTACTGCCCCCAACCCATAACTGCTGGTCCTGCCTCCATTCTCTTACTCTTCCCTTTCCAGGCAAAATGAAGGTGGCTGGCTGGCTGCCTGTTGCTTCTAAATTATCCAGCCTGCGTGACCCTCTCAAGAGTAGTGAGCCCCTCCTCTTAGCCCAAAGAGAAGAGGGTTGGGGTCCTGAAGAGATAGGGGTTTGTATTTGGTAGCTTCTTTTGGTATCACCTAGGCTTTTAGGGAAGTCCTGCCTCAAAGTTAACTCCAGCTGCTCCCATTCCGGTGCCAGTCCATTCCACCTGGTTCAGTCCTCACTGCAGAGAGCAGAGGACCTAATCCTGGCCTTTCTCAACCCAGAAGAGATTCGTGCACTCCACACTTTGTTATTACAATCACACCACACCTACCACCTTTCCATCCCATCTCCTTTTTAGGGGACTTCGAAAGATGGATAGCAGGACTCCTTCTGAATCGCATCAGAGTGATAGAAGACCACCACTGCCTCTTTATTTGACCCTTCCCTGGAGGCCCAAGTTAAAGAGGGGTAGAGGGAGGGGGCTGTGGGAGGAGCCAGCTGACCAACTGGTCACCATGGAAACTGGGACTGTTTCCCAGAGATGAGCTAGGCTAGGGTGGACAGAATTGGGGAGAAGAACATGACAAAGGGAACCAGAAAACACCAGCAGAGAGAGGACTGGAGGGGCCTGGCCTCAGAGAAGCCTGGGGCTGAGTATGCCCTGATCACACCAGAACCTGAGTCAAAGTCCACACTTCGAAGGTCATCCTTCCAGATAACGCACTGCTAGGGTCCCTCTCCCCATTCCTGGAGTGTTCCCAAGAGGGCTTCCTGTCAGAGTTCCAGCTCTGGTGCTGGGGGCAGTGGGTGACTCAATGCTGACCTCATGTGGCCAAAAGTGGCTGCCACACACCTGGCTCACATATCCAAAAAGTCCCAAACCAGCTGCTGGTGGAGTCAATTCCAACTCTTTAGTCAAAACCAACTCAATTGCAACCCTGTAGTACAGAGTAGAATTGCCCTATAGGGTTTCCAAGGCTATAATCTTTATGGACGGACGCAGACTGCTACATCTTTCTCCCACAGAGCAGCTGGTGGATTCAAACCACTGACCTTTTTATTACTTGCTGAGTGCTTAACCAGGGCTCCTTGCTCAGTTATCTATTTTCCTGGTGTGGCACTGTAGGATCAGCACTGGACTGTGAGCCACAAGGTTGGCAGTTCAAATCCACCAGCTGCTTCTCGGAAACCCTATGCAGGGTCACTATGAGTCTGAACTGACTCGACAGGACTTCAACAATTATCTGTCTATGGCTCAAGTCCAGACATCTGGCTGAGTTAGGGTGGAATTTTCTTCAAACATAGCCTCTGGGAAAATGAAAGGAGCAGTCACTGTATACTCCTGAGTTTTTGTATGTTTGTGTCCTACAGAGCTGCACTCACGGAAGCAGCAGTCAAGAAATCAAACGACGTATTGCATTAGGCCAATCTGCTGCACAAGACCTTTTTAAAGTGTTGAAGAGCAAAGATGTCAGCTTGAGGACTAAGGTGCGCCTGACCCAAGCCATGGTATTTTCAGTAACCTCATATGCGTGTGAAAGCTGGATAGTGAATAAGGAAGGCCATAGAAGAATTGATGCCTTTGAATTGTGGTGTTGGAGGAGGATGTTGAAAGTACCATGGACTGCCAAAAGAACCAACAGATCTGTGTTGGAAGAAGTGCAGCCAGAGTGCTCCTTGGAGGCCAGGATGGCCAGACTTCGTCTCTCCTACTTCGGACCTATTGTCAGGAGGGACCAGTCGCTGGAGAAGGATATCATGTTTGATAAGGGTCAGAGAAAAAGAAGAAGACCCCAGCGAGATGGATTGGCAGAGTGGCAGCATCAATGGGCTCAAGCATGGCAACAATTATGAGGTTGGTTCAGGACCTGGCAGTGTTGTGTTCTGTTATACATAGGGTTGCTATGAGTCGGTACCGGCCCCATGGCACCTAACAACAACAACAGATCCCATGGTTTGAGTCCTCCAGCCGCTCTGCAGGAGAATTCTTTGCTCCTGCAAAGATTTAATAACCTCAGAAACATGCAGGGTTCCTATGAGTCAGAACCAACTTGACAGCACCTAACAACAACAATGGAACCCTAGTGACATCATGAGCTAAGCACTGGGCTGCTAACCAAAATATTGGTGGTTCAAACCCACCAGCAGCTACTCCACAAGAAAAAGGTGAGGCTGTCTGTTCCTATCAAGATTAGTCTCAGAAGCCCTAGCTAGTAGTTCTACTCCGTCCCACTGGGTTGCTGAGTTGGAAACAACTCAATGGCAGTGAATTTGGTTTTGGGTTTTATAAAAGTTCAGATGTTCTTTCTCCCCACCCCATCACCCATGAAGTTTTGATTTAAAAATTGTATTCATTGGAAAAATGTATAATACAGCTTTGGATTACAGACAAGAGAACTCTGCTCTGAAACTGCTATTTGACTTTGGACAAGTGAACTCACCTCTCTGGGCCTCAGCTTCTCTGTTGTAAAATGGGAATGGGAATGCCAGATTTTTGAACCCAGGTAGTCTAAGTCTGGGAGCATGGTGGCTCTCTAGGATAAGTAATGAACTGCAAACCACAAGGTCAGCAGTTTGAGCCCACCAGCTACTTAGTGGGGGAAAAAGATGAGACTTTCTGCCCGTGCAAAGCTGGTAGCGTATTGGTTACGAATCGGGCTGTGAACCACAAGGTCAGCAGTTCGAAACTACCAGCTGTTCTGCAGAAGAAAGATGAGGCTTTCTGCTCCCGTAAAGATTTATGGCCTTGGAAACCCTGTACAGGGTCGCTATGAGTCCGAATCGACTCCACGGCACATAACAACAACAACAAAGATTTACAGCCTCAGAAAGCCTATACAGAGTTTCTCTGAGTTGGAACCAATTTGACAGGACTTCACTAGATTATTATTCTGTTTTGCTCTAGCCTTTGAAGATGGCAAAAGAATCTGTCAGAAAGGGTGGGGGGCAGGTGGAGTTGAGAACATCTGAAATCATTTGCCTCAAGGAAAGGGAATGTTTCCATTTCGTGGACTTTTCCACCCCAAACATGTAATGATGGGCTGTTCTTTCACTTGACTACTTGCATCACACTCCACACATCCTCTGCTCCTCCAAAAGAATGGAGAACATTGGTTTATCTCCTTCCTGCAGCCCTCTCCCCTGTCTCTTTCCAATCATCACCTCATTAGACTAGATCCGTCTCTTCTCTCAGCCCTCCTCTCTTCTTATTCTCAGTTGGAATGGAACCTTCTGCCTCCTATTCCCAAGGGTACCCTGTTCTCATTTCTGTCTTCACATAACCACTCTATGTTGTAATTGCTAGGGAACTCCTTTGTTGTGGTGGTGGTGGTGGTTGAGAAAGCACACAGCAAAACATATGACAAGCCAGGGAAGTTTTTGAAGGCTGGAACCATGGGCTCTTTTGTTGGTGGTGATGGTGTTTGTTGGTTCTTACTGTTACTGTGATACACATCTTTGCCTCCAGCAGAGAGAACAATATCAGACATGTAGGAGAAGCTCCATACATGTTTGTCAAATGGGTAAATGTTCCCTCTCCTAAGGATAGAGATTGAAAAGGTAGATAGATGTTTTCTTGATCCCCTAAGGGCATTGATGGACCCCAGGCCACTGGTACTGATGGAGGAGAAAGAAGGAAAGGGTCGTTCATGGTGTGCTCATTTGAGGCTCACCCTGTGGGTGGGGGTTCTCCTAAGGTCTTCCTGGGCCCGGGGAAAGCAGGGACAGGGAAGGAAGATGGGCTGGGGCTGGTACCTTAGCAGTGTTGCTCATCCTGTCTGGGGCCTCCCCCTTCCAGTCCCACCATGAGGAACTAAACTTTCCTGACCACTAGGGGTAACCGGATGCTACCATCATTGTCTCCCCAACGTGAGGAAGAAGAAACCCCATAGCCACTCAGCTTTTTAGACATCAGTCTTCTTGAGAAACCCACTTTTTAAAAACAAATCTTTCTAAAAATAAAAATTAGTGCCCAATTCTATGTAATCTGGAAGTTGGCACAGGAAACCCTTTATCTAGAACCAAGCAAGATCCACTTTAAAGATAGTGGGCATCCTCTTTCTCCACTCAGATTCCTGGGCACTGAGTGGGAACGATGAGAAAACAAGAGAAACAGGGGGAGGGGTATGTTGTTGTTGTTAAGTGCCATCAAGTTGGTTCCTTTCCATAGCGACCTTGTATAGGGATTCCAAGATGCAACTGGTGAGCTTGAACCGCCGGCTTTGCAGTCTGGTGCATTAACCTATAGCACCGCACCAGGACTCCGGGGGAGGGGTATGTTGTTGTTAAGGGCTGTAGAGTCGGTTTCGACCCATAGCGACCCTGTATAGGGTTTCCAAGGAGCCGCTGGTGAGCTTGAACCACCAACCTCGCAGTTCAAACTGCTGTGTAGTCTGGCGCGTTAAACCACAGCGCCACACCAGGACTCCAATTCCCCATCCTACTCCCCACCTGTTCTCTCCACAGGAAGCCCAACTCTTGCAGACGATTAATACACATTTCTCTAAAAACCAAAATGGAATTAATGAATGAAATTAAGAAGGAAAGGGGAAGGAGTGAATTAATAAATGGATGTATGGATGATGGATAGATGGATGGATGGATGACTGGGCTAACAAATGAGTCAGGAGCCGGTAAACCGGGACTCCGAGCCAAAGCAGAAGGAGGAGTGAGGGGGGATTCCGAAGGGGCGGGACCTCTGTCCGGAAGCGCGGTCGGGGGAGGGGCCTGGGGCGGAGCCGCTGGGCGTGCGGCCTCCCCTTGGACTGAGGGGCGGGACGAGAGGACCAGATAGGGCTGTGCTGCTGTTCTGAATATCCGTGGAGGTGAACCCTACCGGACTCCGACCCTGCTCGCACTTCAGGTCGACCCCTTGGACCCCCGCAGCCCAGCAAAGAGGTCGCTCCTGGCCGAGTGCCGGCTCTGCGAGGCAGCCCCGCAACCCGGAAAGACAGCGCAGCGGAGCCCAGAGCCGGATCCTGCTCGAACCCGGCCCCCGCGGGCCGGCGCCGTGGGCATGTCGGAGGCGCGGAAAGGGCCGGACGAGGCGGATGAGAGCCGGTACGACTCGGGTATCGAGTCTCTGCGTTCTCTGCGCTCCCTGCCCGAAGCCACCCCGGCCCCGGCCTCCGGGCCCTCGGAGGGCGGCGACGGCCCCCAGCCATGGACCCAACCCCGGGCAAGCGCCGAGGAGCCACTGGGGAAGGAAGACGCGGATGGGGAGCGGGCTGACTCCACCTATGGCTCCTCCTCGCTCTCTGGACCCCTGCCCTTGCTGGGGGGCACCGAAGCCGAAGACCCTGCCCCAGGATCGCCACTCCTTCCCTCTGGGACGCTGAGTCCTCAGCAGCTGGAAGCACTCACTTACATCTCCGAGGAAGGAGACACGTGAGTTCGGGGGTGAAGCCGAGGCAGGACCCCTTCTTCCCAATAATTAGTCTAAGTCTCCTCGAGAGCCGCCAAAGGCCGGGCTCCCCACCTCCCTGGGACGATACCCTTCAAGGTACCCGCCAGGGAAGGGGCAGCCCCCACTCTCTTCGAAACTCCAAACTGAATTCCAAACTTTCAGCCAACTCTTGAGCTCTCACCAGGCCATCACCTCTCTGCCCTTCCTTTTGGAAGTGGGCAAAACTGACAGGGCCCTCCCCAGACGCCGGGAGCTCCAGCCAACAGCTTGGAAACCTATCAATAACCCACCCCTAGGAAGAGAAAATTCCCCTGACCAGTCCAGTTTGTTTGTTTTTCCCCTTGGAGAGGAAGAGGGTATTCTTGTTTACTCAGTATCTGGGATTCCCAGCTTCGGACCTCAAAATGCCCTGTCTCTAGGAACCAGGTTGCTAGTTACAGGTTGCCAGTGGAGGGTAGGAGGCTGGGGGGTAGGGGGTGCAGCTGGGGTTGGCCCTGAGGACGAGTAGGTGATCCTGGCTGGAACACCCTTGCCCCATAGACAGAGAGGCAGCTGGCTGCCCCAGCTCACTTCCTCCTCTGCAGAGAAAAGGGGAAGTGAAGGCTGGAATCAGTCTCCCCTTCACACTCCCCCACCTGAGCTCCCCAGGCCTTCTCATGTCCTTCCTGACCTCCTTACTATATTCTTACCCCCAGGTCCAGGTGGAGCTGGATAGAGACTGGGCCAGGGGGCAGTTGAGATGAGAAGCAGAAATGTGGGAGGAGAAAATTCCCCTGGCCAGTCCAGTTTGAAATGGAACACTACTAAGATGGGGGTTTGGAGGGTGGGGTGGCAGGTGGGTGGCTGGCATTTGAGATTGGAAACAGACTGGGGTCCCCACTCAGAGTGACTAGAATGAAAGAATAGGAATGGAGAAATCAGGGGGTGGGGTGTCAGCCCTGACCTACTTTTTAGAGGTGCAGGTGTCCTAATTCTGCATGGCTTTGGGCAAAGATGGTGGGTGGAAGAGGAGCGACCCCAGGACTTTTTGTACTCTGTGTGGGTCACCAGCCCTCAGGCCCAGAACCCCAAGATTTGGGAAGCTCCATGTAGGATACCTGCAGCTAACCTTTGATCCAGGAAGTGGGAGCTTTGGTCCTGGTCTCAGTCTTTAGGCTTCCAGCCCCACCTTTACCATCTCTATAGGAGGCAGGTGTACTCTATATGAGTCCAGATTGTGTGTGGAGGAGGAAGAAGACCAGGATTCCGCAGGGGCTCACAAGAGAGTAGGGGGACACTCTCTTCCCTCTGAGGTGTCTGGACTGTGGGAGGTCTGGAAGTGGGAAGAGGAAGTGGGAGGAGGAAAGAGAGGGAGAGGGAGGTGGCTGCAGGAATGTGACCCAGAGAGCAGGCCTTGGCCGAGAGGGGATTTCCAGAGAGGTTCCTCCACTCTCTCCTGGCCTCTTCTATTGCCTGCCTGCCTCCAAAGCCAGCCCCTGCTTGCCTAAGCAGCCCCCTCCCCAGCTCAGACACAAGCCCCTCACTCATGCCCCAAAGTAGCTGAGTAGCTCTCCTGGCCCAGACAGGTTTTCATTTTCCCCACCTGATGGAGGGAAACCCCAGGACACAGGAACTTCCCCTCCCAACTGCCCCCCTCACCCCTAATTACAGCTCTGGACTCCCAACAAACGCACATTTTTTACACTGCACAGACCTCCCCTCAGAAGTGCACACAGACATCAAGGGCCTCAGGTCAGGCCCAGCTGTTCTGTGCTGTCAGACAGTAAGACAGGATGCTGTGCTATCTCCTTGTGTGTCTTAGAGAGGGTTCTCTCCCATGGAATGTGGAACGTTGACTTGCTGGAGGGGTGACTCCACACCCCACACCCCTCTGTCCGGTCCTCCCTCTTGAGGTGGGAGGTGGGGAGCCCAGCCCTGGAAACCCCCGCTGGGCTCCTTTGTCAGCTTTCACTTTGGCTTTGAGCTGCAGCTGGCTTGGTAGGGCCCTGGGGACAGGGGGATGTGGGATTTGGGCAGACCAGGGACAGAAAGGCCTTTGCCCTGTCAGCACCCTGCCCACATCCCACGCAGCCAAGATTCTCCTGAAGTTCAGAGATGGAAAGTCGGAGCTACCCACCTCCCCGCACCAACTCTACACTCTAGGATCCTGGCTTCTCACGCCAACCCTCACTTCCTGGCCCAAACTCTCACTTCCTGTGCTTATCCTATAGGTGACTAAGTTAATGGTTGAGGTGTCGTTCTAACCACAGGACCCTAGCCAACTCTCGTTAGCCTGGGTCCTGACCCCAAGCCCTGCCCTGCCCTACTCCTCCCCAGGCTGGTCCACCTGGCAGTGATTCATGAGGCCCAAACTATGCTGCTGTGCTGCCTGGCTTTGCTGCCCCAGGAGGTCCTGGACATTCAGAACAACCTTTACCAGGTAGGTAGAGAAGGTGGGTTGTCCCCAGATATCAGTACCTGCCCCGGCAGCCATAGAAGATTCTTTAGGCTGCTCACTCAAGAATTCACATGCCAGAAGCTAAGAATCTCCAGATGTATAAGACAGAGTCTTTGCCCACAGCCTGGGGTTGGGGCCTCATGTCTGATTACACAGCCTGGTGACAAGAGATGGATAGAGAAGTAACAGCTGCTGTGGACTCCAGTGACGGTGTGGTACAGCCTGGGAGGCCTTAGCCCTAGAGGTCACATAGGAATGGGGCCTTGAAGGAGTTTGCCATCTCCAGGGTTTCCCCTAAAGCCCTTCCCTTCAGCTCAGCCCCTGGGAGAGTGAGAGGCTAGACCTGCCCCCATCTAGCCTTTCTCCAGGGTTAAGAGGGCCATAAGAAATACAGAGAGCAATGTCCCTCACCCTGCTGCCAGATCTTGGAGTCCCAATATTTAAGGAGTGACAGGGAAGGGCTTGGTAGTGTTTCCTTGTTCCCAGTCAGGCCCCTGACCTTTATAAGCTGCTCTCAAAGGTGCTGACAGGTAGGAATTCTTGTGTTCACTTCCAAGTTCCCAGGGGCGGGAACATGCCCTAGTGACCCTGTGACGTCACTCTGTCCTTGCGCCTACAGACAGCACTCCACCTGGCTGTACATCTGGACCAACCGGGTGCAGTTCAGGCTCTGGTGCTGAAGGGAGCCAGCACGGTGCTACAGGACCTGCATGGTGACACAGCTCTGCACATGGCCTGCCAGCGTCAGCACCTGACCTGTGCCCGCTGCCTGCTGGAGGGACAGCCAGAACCAGGCAGAGGACCACCTCACTCCCTGGACCTCCAGCTGCAGAACTGGCAAGGTATGGGCAGTCTAGAGGCCCTGCAGGGTGAGGAATAGGGCAGGAGACAGGGGCTGCAGTCTCAGGGAAAGGAGGGCCAGCTTGTTCATTGACATGTCTCCAGTTCTTGGCACATGAATCCACTGCTGTCAAGCCAATTCCGACTCATAGAGGACAGAGTAGAACTGCTTCATGGGGATTCCGAGCATGTAAACCTCTGTGGGAGCGGACAGCTCATCTTTCTCCCAAGGAGCAGCTGGTGGGTTTGAACCACCAACTATGTGGTTGGCAACCCAATGCTTAACCCACTGCACCACTGGGGTGGCTTCTAAGCACAGAGTTTCTCAGTGTATCGTTGGATAAAGGAAGAAAGGAAGGAATTTGATTTGGGATTTACCTAGCTAAGCAGAGAGCTGAATCTGCCCTCAGGATGTACCATGTAATAGAGAACTCATTCATTCATTCATTCAGTAGAAATGTACTGAGGGACTTATACATGCCTTATATAATTTAGGGGCTGGGCTTACATCTGTGAATAAAACAGAGACAGACAATACATGTAAGAAGTAAGTTAAGTCATGTGTTAAAAGGTAGTAAGAGCTCTGGAAAAAATAGAGTAGAGTAAGGGGACTAGTCTTGGTGTGGTGCTGTAAGATAAGCACTGGACTGCTATCTGCAAGATCAGTGGTCCAAACCTACCAGCCACTCCTCGAAAACCCAGTACAGGGTAACGATGAGTAACAACAACAACAACAACAACAACACAAAGGGAATCGGCATAGCAGGGTGGGGATGGGGACAGGGTTGGGATGGGCAGGAGACTTGATGTGATTTCAGGATCATCAGGGAGGGAGGACCTGCTGGAGCATGGACATTTGAACCTAGACTGTAGGAGATGAGGAAGGTCACTGTGAACTTCTACTAAGCTGAGCCGGATGGGGCAGGGGAGTAGGGGGGAGGTGAAGCAGAGGAGGGCCTGGAGGTGTGAGAATCCCAGAGAGTTCAGAGAAGGTGGCTTTGGCTTGAAGTCTAAGAGAGAATGTGGGGGTTGGGGGGGGGGCGTGGGAGGGGAGTCTCTCAGCAACCTAACCCTTGAACCGTGAAAGTTTCAATAATATGACTCTAAAAAGGTGGAAACTTTGAGTTCCTTTCCCCTCAGACTTTTGAGGGGGTTTTTGGGTTTGCCCTGTAACAGTCCTGTGATCAGAGGCATTGAGTGGGCAGCAGGTCCCTGTGGGACTGCGGAGGGGTACGGTTTGGAGGTCCCTGGAGAGAAGAGAGGGAGGAGTTGGCAGGTGTAGATCAGCAGCTCCCTCCCGCCCTCGCTATATTCCAGGTCTGGCCTGTCTCCACATCGCCACCCTCCAGAGGAACCAGCCACTTATGGAACTGCTGCTTCAGAATGGAGCTGACATTGACGCACAGGTGAGGCAGCCAAGTAGGGCACTGCCTGCTGCCTCACACGCGCCCAGCCCGGTCCCTGCCCAGTGCTCAGAAGTGGTGGTACTCACCTCCTCATCCGTGACTCAGGCCCAGCACAGGGCCTCTTGAGGACCTTGGCTGACATCCATATTCCCTTCCAGGAGGGCACCAGTGGGAAGACTGCACTGCACCTGGCTGTGGAAACCCAAGAGCGGAGCCTGGTGCAATTCCTGCTCCAGGCCGGCGCCCGTGTGGATGCCCGCATGCTCAACGGATGCACCCCCCTGCATCTGGCAGCTGGCCGGGGCCTCAGTAGCATCTCATCCACCCTGTGCGAGGCAGGAGCTGACTCCCTGCTTCGGAATGTGGAGGACGAGACGCCCCAGGACCTGGCTGAAGATGTAAGAGGCATACACACTCAATTCTCCAGGACCTCCCCCTCCCAGAGCAGGGACATGCACTGGAGTCAGCTGAAAAGGCCAGATTGGAAGTTAGGGCCCTCGGGTCTAACCTGAGCCTGCCTCTATCCACCTGTGGGACCTGGGGCAAGCTCTACTCCTCTCTGAGCCTGTTCCCTTAGTTGGACAGGGCCAGGGGACTCCGATTAGGACTTGTACAGGGGTTCTGCAGCTGCAGGATATCGGTCAAGCAGACCTAAGACAACAGAGGATGGTGCAGCCTGTGAGACACGGAGAGCTCTTGACCAGGGCGCTATACTTCAGCCTCCCTCAACAGATGGTTGCAGAGTAGGAATGCACACACATTTTTAAGCAAGGTGAAATCCAGACTTTCTGTGCACTGTTTCTCATTTTCATATATATAGTATAAAAAGCACTCAAAATGTTTTGTAAACACCCTCTTCCACCCCCCAAAATGCCAGACATGCCATTCTATGGTCCCTCCTAGTTTGAATATTCTGGCATTATGTTAAAGAATAAGGGCTTGCCTTCAGGAGCCCTGGTGTCATAGTGGGTTACAAGTTGGGCTGCTAAACGCAAGGGCAGCAGTTCGAATCCACCAGCCACTCCGTGGGAGAAAGAGGAGATTTTCTGCTCCCATAAAAATGTGTAGCCTCAGAAACCTACGTAGGATCACTAGTAGTGGGTGGATTTAAGGGCTTGCCTTAGGCCTGAGAGCAGTGCATAGCTCAGAGGGGCCACTCTCTTCTGGAAGTAGCAAGGCTTGTTCCCTGATGCACTTTAACTGGCCTTTCATGGAAAGGAGGTGGCCCAACAGCTTTCCCCAGCTCTCCTCTCTGGCCACTGCCTTTACTTTGACAATACCTGAGCCTGCTTCTCTCCTTTCTTTCTCTCAGCCCTTTGCTCTTTTGCCCTTCGATGACTTGAAGATCTCAGGGAAACCATTGCTGTGTGCTGACTGATGCCCAGCCACGATCTGGGGCCCAGGAGTGCCTCCTGTTCCCATCTGGAAGCTGGAGCCACAGCTGCTGCAATTGGGGCCCAGGCCATGTGCCGTTCTGGTGCCCTAAGGACTGCTGGGTCGCAGCCTGGGGCCAGCAAAGTCCTGAGTCAAGAGGAGGGATCAAAAGGTAGAAAGAGCCAGTCTGGAAGGAATAATTTCCCAGTGGATGGAGATTCTCAGAAGACCCCACCCCCGGCCCCACCAGAACCCCAAGTATCCTGGGCGAAGCCTATTTGCCTTTCCGGAAGATGCAGATGCTCCTATCCATGTTGGGTCAGCCTGAAAACTGCAAACCAGTATGAAAAAACGTGGACTCTCCTGAGTGAGGAGAGAGGCGGAAATATGAGCTATCAGGATGCTGGGTGGGGAGTTCCATCTTACTGTTGTCGAGAACTCAAAAAGACTTGTTACATAGTTCATGCTGAAGTCCCTGCCTAAAATGAGCCTTTGAGGGCGGGCAAGTTTCAGTAACATGACACTAAAATGGCAAAGACTTTTAAGAAGTTTTTCCCCTCTACAGTTATTTTGTCCATATGCATATCTATGTGTGTGTTTGTTGAGGGTTTTTTGTGGAGTGGGTTACTGGCTGCTAATCACAAGGTCAGTAGTTCAAATCTACCAGCATTTCTGCAGGAGAAATATAAGGCTTTCTGTTTCCATAACGATTTACTGCCTTGGAAACCCTATATAGGGTCATTATGAGTTAGAACTGACTCTATGGCACATAACCACCAGCCACAGAGTCCTGTGGCTTTGTGGTAGAGGCAGAGGGAGAAAAGTCATCCCCTGGGCCTTAGGGCCTCAACGGGGGTGGAGTCAAGCAGATACTGGTCCTCAGGCCCTTCCTTCCACCTCAGGCACCTACTTTTTCTATGGTATCTGAGGAGGGATGGGAAGGCAGGCCCTTGGAGACTTCACCACTGCCTTTAAAGGCTGCTATCTGGAGGAGCCTGGAGAGAAAGTCTAGTTTAGGGCACTGTAGGATAAGCAGTGGACTGCTAACCACAAGATTGATAGTTCAAATCCATCAGCGACTCTCGAAAACCCTATATAGGGTCACTATGAGTTGAAACTGACTTAACACACAAGGCAGCCTTTTAAAAGCTATTTTTATTTTCGTCCTTTCACACCTGTTTAAAGACCATGCTAAGTCAGACCTATGCAGGAGTAAAGAACATGTAGAAATAAACCAACAAGATGTCTATTATGTGGAGTTTATAGTCTAGCAAGTGAGGTAATCATTAAACTCAAACTGCCAAGTAATGGTGAGAAGTGCTGTGAAGGAAAAGGACAGTGGGAATGAAAAACTGGATGGTGGAGGGCCATACTTTGGGTGGTCAGGGAACCCCTCATTTACTTCAACTCTGACATAGGATGAGTAAGGGATGACGCGAAGGGAAAGAGCATTCAGGAGCCTGTGCTGGGAGAATTAGAGGAACTGAGAGCTGGCCAGTGGGGCTCTGCAGCGGGTAGCTGTGTGGGCAGGGGCCAAGTCATGCAGAGTTTTGAAGTCAAAGGGAGTAGGATACTGAATTGCTGACCCAGACAAAAAGGGAAGGGGGCATCTCTATCTTGTCATTGGGAAAACTAAGGAGGGGAATTGCTTGGATGCAGAATCTCAATGCCCCCCTCATTCAAAGTACATACGACAGTGGTCACCATTACCTCCTTGTGAGAGATAAGGGTGAACAGGAAGCTATAAGGAGACACCAGACCGGCGTCCTTCAAAGACTGGGCCTCTCTGCTTCCCCCTCCCGAGAAGAGCCCAGTTTCCTCAGAGCGAGCCACGTCTCCCTCCGGGCCGCGCGAGGGCGCTGTGGCCTGGCGGCGACCCCGGCCACGCCGTGGTCGCGGTAGGGGGCGGAGGGGCGGGCGCGGAGAGGGAGGCGGGAAGAGCGGTGCACTTCCGTTGGCCGCTCACTTACTGGTAGCTCCGGAGGCGGCGGAGGGAGTGCGCGGCCCGGGGACTGTATTCCCCGGCCCCCTCCGCCCCACGCGCCCGGACCATGGATACCAGGTGGGAAACTAGGGGGAGCGATGGCATCCACGTGACCTAGCCTGTGGGCCACGTGACTATCGCCCCTCCGAACTGGGGGCCGGGTGGGGTCTCGATTGCTGGGTTGAGAGCCCACAGAGCGCCTCCGGGAGCCTGTGGGGTCTTGTGCCCCGTGAATGTCTGCATGGAAGGTTGGGGCATCCTGGCGCTCCGGGAACGTGGGAGGAGAAGGGGTCACCGCCGCCGGCCTGAGTAGCGGCCTGAACAGCCGGCGAGCGCTGGAGGGAACAGAGGGAACCTGTGTGGCCGGAGGGGCGGGTCCATCCCTGGGGAGGGAGGGGGCCCGGCTTGGCCCACGCCGGTCCCCCTCCCTGCCCCCGGAGAGAGAGGCTCTTTGTCCGGCTGGACTGTAGCGGGGGGCGGCGGGGAGGAGATTCCGGGCCCTCCTCCAGTGTGGCCCCTTCTGGAGAGCCAAGTGGATGAGGAACTGTACTCTTAAACCTCTATCCGCTGCCCCTGCAGGTGGTGGGCAGTGGTGGTACTGGCCACGTTCCCCTTCCTGGGGGCAGGAGGGGAGGTTCCCGAAGCCCCGCTGGAGTCATGGACCCAGCTATGGTTCTTCCGCTTTTTGGTGAATGCTGCTGGCTATGCCAGTTTTATAGTACCTGGCTACTTCCTGGTGCAGTACTTCAGAAGAAGGAACTACCTGGAAACAGGTGTGTGTGGAAAGGGCTGGGGTTGGCTGGGTCTGGAATTCTGTCGCTGGCCAGCAGTTCAGACGGATGTTGCCTGGGAAAGGAGAAAGGGAGGAATGGGCCAGGGTTGCCTGCAGACAGTGTAGGGTGGGGCCAGGTGACTGCTCCAGGGAGGATTGGTTTGGTGGTGGTATGTGCTGTGGAGTCGATTCCATTCTGGCTCATAATGACCCTGCAAGGGGTTTCCAAGGCTGTACATCTTAACGGGAGCACAAAGCCTCATCTTTTTACCACTCATAGTTTAGAATTGATGGCTTTGAAATTAGCAGCCTGACTCGAAACCACTATGCTACCAGAGCTCCAGGGAGGATTAGTACGGTGGAAAAGATTTGGAGTGTGCCTTTGTGTGCCTTCTTCAGGTAGGGGCCTCTGCTTTCCCCTGGTGAAAGCCTGTGTGTTTGGCAATGAGCCGAAGGCTTCAGATGAGCCCCCTCTGACTTCCCGGACAGAGTCAGCAGAGACCACCCCCACTTGGCAGGCACTGAAGCTGCTCTTCTGTGCCACAGGCCTCCAGGTAGGTAGGCAGGCTCTGATCTCTTCTAGGGCTGGAATCAACCCTAGCAGTCCTGCTATTGCAGGTTTGCTGGTTGCTGTGAATGTGCTCTCTGCCCTCCCAGGGCACACTGCAACTGTCTTCTTGGAGGTGGGTTAATAGAAAGGCTGCCTTTTCTTTCCACTTCTCCGGTTTTCCAACATTGGTACTGGGCCCTTAGTTTCTTTTCTGTGATTTCTGCTGTTCTGTTATCACACTTCCCTCTACACACTGTCTTATATAGTAACTCCACTGGAAAAAAACTTTGGAGAGGAGGGGTACTCAGCCCTTCCCTAGTATTGCATATGAGAAGGGTGCTAGGATGCTGGCTGCAGGACACATTGGAATGGGGTAGTAGTTTTACCTTCCATACCAGGGTGAAGGGTGACTTGGAAGTCTTGCCTCCCTAAACTTGTTAAGTATAAGAAAATGCTTTGAATGGCTAAGTCAGCTCCAACATACCCATTCTATGAGGACAGAAGATCTGGGTAGTCTTAACCCTTTAAATCATGTAGCTTATTCTGAGGTAAAGAGTAATTGAGATCCATGTTTGCCACCACCACCACCACCACCACCACCACCACCACCCGCTCTGTTTTCCTTCTTTTGCTCACTGATTCAGCTTGTTTTTCCTGTCTGTACCAGGTGTCCTATCTTACCTGGGGTGTGCTGCAGGAAAGAGTAATGACCCAAAGCTACGGGACCACAGCCACAACACCAGGTGAGCGCTTCACAGACTCACAGTTCCTGGTGCTGATGAACCGTGTGCTGGCGCTGATGGTGGCTGGCCTCTACTGTGTGCTCTGCAAGCAACCCCGACACGGGGCACCCATGTACCGGTATTCCTTTGCCAGCCTGTCAAATGTGCTTAGCAGCTGGTGCCAGTATGAAGCTCTCAAGTTTGTCAGCTTCCCCACCCAGGTTCTGGCCAAGGCCTCCAAGGTGATCCCTGTCATGCTGATGGGAAAGCTGGTGTCGCGGCGCAGCTATGAGCACTGGGAATATCTGACTGCTGGTCTCATCTCTGTAGGAGTCAGCATGTTTCTGCTGTCCAGTGGACCAGAGCCCCGCAGCTCTCCAGCAACCACTCTCTCAGGTCTCATCCTGCTGGCAGGCTACATTGCTTTTGACAGCTTCACCTCGAACTGGCAGGATGCCCTGTTTGCCTACAAAATGTCATCAGTGCAGATGATGTTTGGGGTCAACTTATTCTCCTGCCTCTTCACAGTAGGCTCATTGCTGGAGCAGGGGGCTCTCCTGGAGGGGACCCGCTTCATGGGACGACACAGCGAGTTTGCAGCCCATGCCCTGCTGCTGTCTGTCTGCTCGGCCTGTGGCCAGATCTTCATCTTCTACACCATTGGGCAGTTTGGAGCTGCTGCCTTTACCATCATCATGACCCTCCGGCAGGCATTTGCCATCCTCCTGTCTTGCCTCCTTTATGACCACACTGTCACTGTGGTGGGGGGGCTGGGTGTGGCTGTAGTCTTTGCTGCCCTCCTTCTTCGAGTCTATGCCCGGGGTAAAAAACGAGCAAAAAAGGCAGTACCCACTGAATCCCCTGTACAGAAGGTTTGAGGGAGGAGGTAGCTAACTCAAGGGCAAAGTACAGGTTTTTTCCTTAGTTCCAGAAACTAGCTGTGTGGGTAAAGAATCCAGGAGGCAGCCTTTCCCTTTGCCTTAATCTCCCCTTCCAGTAGGCATGCAGTCACTACAGGTGGGGTATAGCCAAGGCAGCAGACTTTTCTTGACCTACTTACCCCTCAAGACCCCAGTGCTAGCTCCACATCAGTACCTCACCTGTGCTTGTCCCTTATACCTTGAACACTTGCCCTTTCAAACTCACTCACCTGGAGACCTGCAATTCTTACTTTGGTGAGAAAAAGCACAAAGTGTATTAAAAGTGCCAATGCTGCTTTCCCAGGAGGGAGGGTGATGGTGCTGGTAAACCCCACCCGGCACCTTCACCCTTTGCTAGGCTCTGTTCCAGGAGCTCCTTGCAGGTTATGGTACTTTGAAGATGTTACTTTTTGCTTATAATTTTATTTTATTAAAATTGCTGTAAAGGACTTGGGTCCTGTGTTTTTGAGTATGTATGTATGCTTTGGATGGGAAAACTAGAATACTACATTTAGAGACCAACTCTTATGACTACTGCACCACCAAGCCTTTCCCATGTATGCTGTTGATGGAGTCTAGGGCTTTGTTTCAAACAAAGGCCCTTTAAGTTCACCAACTGTTCCCTAGAAACCCTATATGCAATTTGTCTTTTGAGTACAGAACTTGACCACCACACATTGCTTTGAGTGTGTATACCAAGGATGAAATAATAGCAATGTGAAAGGCAATATCATATCCACAAGGTAGATTAGTACTGTATAAAACGGTATCATTTTATTTTGTATACTTTAATATCAGAACAAAATAAACAACAACAAAAAAAACAACAACAAAAAAAACCACAATACACAACATCTAACCACACTCCCAAATAAGGGAGGGGTAACAGGGCCTGAGGACCTTATATCCTGCCTTATTACACACAAGGCCCAGGAGAAAAAATAATCACTAGTTTATCAGCAGATGGAGCCAGGTGGGACAGGGCCACTCAAGGCTTTTGTGGGAACCACAGGGTAACTACAGAGGACACAAGTTTTGAAGGTAGAAATGACTAATCTACTTCTTCCATGCGAGATGCATCCTCATCACCCTCAAGGGGGGGGATCTCATCAGGAACAGCAGTACTGGGTTCCTCAGCTGTCACTTCATCTTCATCAATGCCTACAAGGTAAAACAAAAGAAATTCGGTGAACTAAATAGCACTAGAGTCACCTACCTAAGAGAGGAATCCTCCCCCAAGCCTTTTCGCAACACCAGGGTAACAGAGGTAGTATTCACCTAAACCCAGCTTGATCATGCGGTAGATGCGGTTGGAGTGGGTCTGGGGATCCTCAAGGGAGAAGCCAGAAGAGAGCAGTGCAGTTTCAAAGAGCAGGACCACTAGGTCCTTGACAGCTTTGTCATTCTTGTCTGCTTCAGCCTTCTGCCTCAGTGTCTCCACAATGGGGTGATCTGGGTTGATCTCCAGGTGCTTTTTGGCCATCATGTAGCCCATTGTAGAGTTGTCTCGCAGTGCCTGGGCTTTCATGATCCGTTCCATATTGGCCGTCCAGCCATATGTGCTAGTCACAATGCAACAGGGTGAAGACACAAGTCTATTGGAGATTGTTACCTGTGGACAGGGTCAGAAAAAGTTAAGCGTATCCTAAGCAAAAAAAAAAAGTAAAAGTTGTCCAGTAGTTGAGCAACCCCAGAAATACACTGTAGAATACATCGTCCCATAATTGCTTACCTTCTCAACCTTCTTATCCAAGATTTCTTTCATGAGCTTACAGAGGTTCTCAAACTTGGCCTTGCTCTCTTCCATTTTCTTTTTCTCCTCTTCATCTTCTGGGAGCTCTAGGCCTTCCTTGGTAACTGAGACCAAGGTCTTCCCATCAAATTCCTTGAGCTGCTGCACACAGTACTCGTCGATAGGCTCAGTCATATAAACTACCTCAAAGCCCCGCTTTCGTACTCGCTCCACAAATGCAGAATTGGCTACCTGCTCTTTGCTTTCACCTGTAGGGGGTTTATTATACATGAGTATGTCTTACATCCTCAGATATCAGGTAAGCGCTGCATCCCTGACCCAAAACCCATACAGTCTCCAACGCACCAGTGATATAATAGATGGACTTCTGGGTTTCTTTCATGCGAGAAACGTACTCAGAGAGAGAAGTCATTTCATCTCCAGACTGTGAAGTGTGATAGCGCAGCAGCTCAGAAAGGCGTCGCCGGTTAGTAGAGTCCTCATGGATTCCAAGCTTTAAGGATAGGAAAAAACATTCAACTTACATGGAAATCTTGTTCCCTCCTCAAACCTATTTGCATTAAGACACTAGGCCAGTGACAAATATTTCCCCATCCTTACCTTTAAATTCTTAGAGAATGCCTCATAGAATTTCTTATAGTTCTCCTTATCTTCTGCCAACTCAGAGAAGAGCTCAAGGCACTTCTTCACAATGTTTTTGCGGATAACCTTCAAGATTTTGCTCTGCTGGAGCATTTCCCGGGAAATGTTGAGGGGCAGGTCCTCGGAGTCCACCACACCTCGGATGAAGTTGAGATATTCTGGTATTAACTCATCACAGCTGTCCATGATGAACACACGGCGGACATAAAGTTTAATGTTGTTCTTTTTCTTCTTATTCTCAAAGAGGTCAAAGGGAGCACGGCGGGGAATGAACAGCAATGCTCTGAATTCCAATTGACCTTCTACTGAGAAGTGCTAAAAAGAAAAAACCACACAAATAAACCTGTAAAATGGCTTTTAGTTCCATCTGAGACCATTTAGATAAGACAAAGATCCTTTCCCCCAAAGCACTGCTAATGTTCTGACTCATAGCAGCCCTGTATAGTTTCTGAGCAGCAGCTGGTGAGTTTGAAATGCAGGACCTTGTGTGATCCTGTGCTTATGCTACAAATGCCACATCAGGGCTCCAATGCCCATTAATTAACTTAGAGTGGAAGTGACTTTAGCTATCTATATCCAATCCTTGGATGAATGAAGAATCATTGAAATCAAAGCCTTGGGTAGGGTGTGACTGCCAGGTCTTTCACTCTGAAGGGTGACCAGTAAATGGTCTTCCTCATGTGACTCCCTAGCTTTCACAGGTCCCAGTTTCTAACCAGTCAGGCATGTTTCATTTTCTCATACAGGGGGTGGGGGACATATGGCCCTATAGAGGCAACCACAGTTTCAGTTCTGACTCACTGGGGACCCAATATAGGGGTTTCCAAGAAGCAGCTGGTGGGTTTTAACCTTGTGGTTCACAGTCCAGTGCTGATCCCATAGTGCCACACACCCTGCCCCCCGAAAGTACAGCCATCACATTAGGGGATGAGTCAAATTAAAAATTCAGGCAGCAATACCTTTCTATCCTCTACCCTTTCTCCTGAGCCAATATGAGAACGCTTCTCACCTTCACTGCCAAGTGGTCTTCCCAGTCATTTGTAAGGCTCTTATAGAACTCCCCATATTCCTCCTGGGTGATGTCATCAGGATTTCTGGTCCAAATGGGCTTGGTCTTGTTCAGTTCTTCACGGTCAATGTATTTCTCCTTGATTTTCTTGGTCTTCTTTTTCTTGTCCTTCCCACTATCATCTTCCTCATCTGAGCCCACATCTTCAATCTTAGGCTTCTCTTCTTCATCCTTATCTTCTTCTTCTTTCTCACCTTTTTCCTCCTCTGCCTCATCATCACTGATTTCCTTTTCTCGTTCCTTCTCCAGCTAGAATTACCAAAAAACAAGTCAGTTTAGGGAAAGCAGAAGATGGGGACATTAAGAACTTCTCCTGAAAAACAGACACCTAAACCAGAGGATTCCCAGCCCACACTCACATAGAGGGTGATGGGATAGCCTATGAACTGTGAGTGCTTCTTCACCACTTCTTTCACTCGCCTCTCCTCTAGGTACTCTGTCTGGTCTTCTTTAAGGTGCAGAATCACTTTGGTACCCCGACCAATAGGTTCACCTACAGAAGTCATTAAGAGCTGAAGCAGGTGAAGACTGAATATATAGCTGTATGTAAGATCAAATACTTTTAGGAATTCTAACCCATTCAGTCAAGTAACAAGAAACCTATAATACTTACCATGGTCAGCACGAACAGTAAAGGAACCTCCAGCAGAAGACTCCCACGCATACTGTTCATCATCATTATGCTTTGTGATCACAACCACTTTCTCTGCCACCAAATAGGCAGAATAAAAGCCAACACCAAATTGCCCAATCATAGAAATGTCTGCACCAGCCTACCAAAAAGAATTTTAAGTAAATTAAAAATTTGAAGAAATCATAAGCCAAAGAACATCGACAAATATGAATGGTACGTAAGTAGCTGAAATAATTGGTATATACCTGCAGAGCCTCCATAAATGCTTTGGTGCCAGACTTGGCAATGGTTCCCAGATTATTTATGAGATCAGCCTTGGTCATGCCAATGCCGGTATCCACTAGAGTAAGAGTGCGCTCCTGGGGGTTGGGGATGATGTCAATTTTCAGCTCCTTACCACTATCTAACTTGGAAGGATCTGTTAAGCTCTCATAGCGAATCTTATCCAAGGCCTGGAGTGTAGGAAAAGAACAGGTATGTTAGGTATCTGTTTTTAAATCCACCAAAGTTAATCCCTTGGCATTTCTACCCCTAACAACTTCAATTTCGATTAACCATTAAGACTGAAGAAGCAGTTCTTTTATTATTATCCCACAATACTAGGTGGTCCTCCAAGGGAGGTCCCTAAAACCCTTGCCTCCCTTTCAAACTCAAAAGTGTCACATGGATGGCTGTGCATCATCAAATCACATCCAACTCATAGCAACCCTGATGGGTTTTCTGATGCTGTACATCTTTTTCCTATGGAGCAAGTTTGATGGGTTCAAACTGAACAGCTTTCCACCAGCAGCCCCCATTGTAACACTATACCATTCAGGGGACCTTAAGAACAAAAAAAGGAACTAGCAAGCTTGAACCACTGACCCT